TCCGTGCGGATTTCTTGGATCCGCGCTGGGCCCCCCTGTCGGCGCCTCCGTCGCCCTTGGCGTGCTCCGCGCGCCAGGGAGGGGGGTTCAGCGCAGATCCACGAAATCCGGACGGAGCGCCAAGAGCTTATGTTGATGCATGTTTTTCACTTCCTAGAGGAGGAGGAGGAGGAGGAGGAGGAGGAGGAGGAGGAGGAGGAGGAGGAGGAGGAAGAGCAGGAGGAGGAGGAGGAGGAGGAGGAGGAGGCGGGGGAGGAGGAGGAGCAGGGGGAGGAGGGGGAGGACCAGTGCAGACCCAACGCGCATCGACGATGCTGCAGCCATCTCGCAGGCACCATCAAGCTCCAGCACGTCCCCCGCCCGCGCATGAAGATCTGCGTGCTGGGCGACGCGGTGCACTGCGAGCAGGCTGAAGTCGGGCCTGCCCCCCTTCGGGGGGGAACCTTCAAACATAGTAAAGCAAACAGCCTGGGGACGATTTGTTGACCATTTTTTATTTATATTATATATAAATCGTACAAGATCCCCCTGTGGGGGGACAGGCCCCGACTTAAGAGCAGGCGCAGCGGGCGGGCATCCCGTTCAAGAGCGTCGACGACCTGAAGAAGCTGAACAAGAACAAGAAGCTCGTCAAGAAGCTGGCGCCCGGGGGCACGGCAAGCGGCGTGCACGCACACGAGCACCTGTTACACATTATCACGATGCGAGGACGACCGCGAGTGGAGTCTACTGATGTCGCCGTGCCTCCTAGAGCCCCTGGGACTCCTCGAGGCCGCTGGGTTCCCCGCAGCGCTCCGAACGCTTCGAACCTGCACCCCTCAACTGGGGAAGGTTGAGAAAAAAAGAAGCTGGCGCCCGAGGGAACGGCAAGCGGCGTGCACGCACAATGAGCACCTGTACACATCCTTGGCATCGCTCGGACGTGTGCATTTTTCCTTCGGCGAGGACCATCGAGGAGCATCCTTGATCATCTGGCGAAAAAAAAGCACGCACGAAACCGAAACAAACACAGGGAATGGACGTCCGAGCGATGGCGAGCATCACCACCGCACGATTCTTTACCTGCCACTCCGCTGGAACGTTCCCCGCCTCCTTCTCGTGCTCGTCTCGAGTATCTGCTCTGATGCCCCCTTTACTGCATCTGCCTGTCTCACCTTCCTCATGTAAAGGATTGTTGCTGCTCAAGAAGCTGGTCAAGAAACTGGCGCCCGAAGCAACACAAAGCTGCACGATCACATGTTTTTTTCGGGCACGTCCCCCTCCCTGAGGAATCTTCCAGACAGGTTCACGAATAGTCTGGGGGCGACTTTTTCGAATATTGTTTGACTATCTTTGAATAAGCTGTTGGCTGCTTCCGTTTTTCTTCCAAAATCCGCCTGTAGGAGGACATGCCCGACGTAGCACTATTGGGCTGGCCTCCGGCCAGTGCCGCCGATCCGGGGGGGTGAGAGCGAGATGATGATGGGGATCCTGGGAACGTTTTGGAGGCTTCTGGAGCCGTCTTGGGGGCATCTTGGGCGGCTTGGAGCGATGTTTCGGCGAGTCGGGGCCCTCTTGGACCGTCTAGGGGGTCTCTTGGGCTTCTCTTGGCTTTTTCTTTGGCCGTCTTGTGCGGTCTGGGCTCTGGACTTGGGTCGTCTTCTGGCGCTCCTGGGCCGTCTTGGGCCCTTCGGGGGCCGTCTTGGAGCCCTCTTGGGGGCGTGTTGGCGTGTCTTAGGGAGCTCTGGGGAGGACATCCCCGACCTAGCACTATTTCGCACGTCCGCGCGGGTTTCCTGGGCCGCACTGGATCCCCACCCACGTCCCCCGACGGCGCCTCTGGCGCCGACCCAGGCGCGCTCTGCGCGCCAGGGAATGGGTGCGGGGAGGTAGGCTTTGAAGGGGCCCACAAACACGCAAATAAATATACACAAATAAAAGGTTCCCCAGATTTTCCCATATGTTCTGGGTTTTTGTCTTCCCCCCCACTTCCTATATTTTCCCATATTTTCCTGGGGGTCGTCGATTAATTGTGTCTGTGTGTTTCTTCCCCTCCTGAGCCTTGGATTTGGCGCGAAGCAGTGTTCCACGGCCAAGAGAGGGATGTGTGGCCGCAGCGCAGCACACGACGGAGGGACCCAGGACAACATTTGCCAGGCGGCCCCGAGGAGTCAGAGGAGCAATAAGCCACGATCATGATGCATTCCACGGTTTCCAGGGTTTCTTGTTGTCCCGCGCAGCCAGGGGGGAATGGCCGCGTGCGAATGGCCGAGGGCAACGAACTCTGGAAAGCCCAGAACGTGTCCCGAGCCAATCGTACCGTGACGTTCTTCCGGGTCGGATGAGGGAAGCGCCGCTGCAAACAAAACGGGGGGGGGGGGGCGGAGGCGAGTCCAGCGCCGACCCGAGAAGTCCGAGCGGATCCCCCCAAGGGTTGTGCTCTTGCGAATCTGTTCCCGGCAGCCTTTCTCGAAAGCTGGGCGAGGGCTGCTAAAACCGTGGCTGCTAAAACGGCCCTCCCGAAAGGAAGCAACTTCCCGGAATGAGGCGCGGCACGCGAAACAGTCAACGGGCTTCTTCCCGGAAGGACGAAGACAACTTCCCGGAGGTCGATTTTAGCAGCCACGTATTTAGCAGCCCTTGCCCGGCTTCCGACTTTCGCCAGAGGGGCCTACACGAGGCAGGTACAAAAAGGACTGCAGGAGAGTCCCGCAGGGGTTGCGTGGAGCCCGGGGATCGCCCTGTCCGGAAGCTGTTTCGCCTGGGGCCTCTTTCACATCTGCACGAGCGAGATGGGCACGGAAATAACGGGTACAATGCTCAACAGCAGTTCCTGTTCCTTTTGGACAGGACTCGCTGTCCGCGCCGCCGCGGCCTCTGTCCATTCGAGGCAGAAGGCCGCCTGCCCAACAGCGGCCGTTGTTGGTTTGGGACAACATTGGTTGTTGGGCATTGTACCCATTTTCTCCGTACCCATTTCGGGCGTCCAAATCACAGTTCTCGACGCTTCGCGCAACCCCACCGGCCCATCCAGAAGCGATGCCCACGCGAGCTGCCTTGATCGGGGATGCAGAGGAGAATGTAGTGGAATGAAAGACTGTGGAAGACGTCGTACCCCAAGAGGGGGAGGATGGTGAGGAGGAAACGGAGGAGGAGGAGGAGGAGGAGGAGGAGGAGGAGGAGGAGGAGGGAGAGGAGGAGGCGGAGGGGGGAGGAGGAAGAAGGAGGAACAGGTTGATGAGGAATATGATAATGATGATGATGATGATGATGATGATGATGATGATGATGATGATGATGATGATGATGATGATGACGATGGTGATGATGATGATTATGATGATTTTGATGATGATGATGATGATGTGGATGAAAATGATGATGATGATGACGATGACGATGACGATGCTGATGATGATGCTGTTGATGATGTTGACGATGATGATGGATGTTGATGGGGGTGATGATGATGCTGATGCTGATGATGCTGCTGATGATGATTCTGATGACGCTGATAATGCTGACGATGCTGATGATGCTGATGCTGATTTTGATGATGATGACGCTGATGTTGATGATGATGCTGTTGATGATGATGATGATGCTGATCATGATGCTGATGCTGCTGCTGATGATGATGATCATGATGGAGGTGATGATGACTATGCTCATGATGATGCTGCTGCTGATGCTGATGATGATGCTGAGGATTAGGATGATGATGACGATAATAATGATCATGAATATTCTGATGATGATGCTGGTGATGATGATGCTGATGCCGATGATGATGATGATGATGATGATGATGATGATGATGATGATGATGATGATGATGATGATTATGCTGATGCTGCTGATGATGATGATGGGGATCCTGAGGACTAGAATTCTGATGATGCTGATGCTGATGATGCTGCTGATGATGCTGCTGCTGGTGATGATGCTGTTGATGCTGAAGCTGATTAGGAGGATGATGCTGCAGCTGAGGATGATGTTGCTGATACTGATGCTGCTGATGGCGATGATGATGATGCTGGCGATGATGCTGCTGATGATGATGATGGTGTTGCTTCTGCTGCTGCTGATTCTGATGATGATGGTGTTGATGATGATGATGCTGTTGATGCTGATGCTGCTGCTGATGACGATGATGCTGATGATGCTTACGCTGCTGCTGATGATGTTGATGATGCTGCTGATGCTGATGATACTGATGCTGATGATGATGAGGATGCCGATGATGCCGATGATGCTGCTTATCATGCTGATGGTGATGATGATGATGATGATGATGATGATGATGAGGACGAGGATGAGGATTATGATGATGATGCTGATGCTGCCTGTGATGATGATGGGGATCCTGAGGACTAGAATTCTGAGGATGCTGATGCCGATGATGCTGATGATGATGCTGCTGCTGGTGATGATGCTGTTGATGCTGAAGCTGATTAGGAGGATGATGCTGCAGCTGAGGATGATGTTGTTGCTAATGATGCTGCTGATGGCGATGCTGATGCTGACGATGTTGCTGCTGATGATGATGGTGTTGCTTCTGCTGCTGCTGCTGATTATGATGATGATGGTGATGATGATGCTGTTGATGCTGATGCTGCTGCTGATGACGATGATGCTGATGATGCTTACGCTGCTGCTGATGATGTTGATGATGCTGATGATGCTGATGATACCAGTGCTGATGATGATGAGGATGCCGATGATGCCGATGATGTTGCTTATCATGCTGATGGTGATGATGCTGCTGATGATGAGGATGAGGACGAGGATGAGGAGTATGATGATGCTGATGATGATGATGATGATGATGCTGTTGATGCTGTTGACGATGGTCATGATGATGCTGATGATGCTGCTGATGATGATGATGATGATGTTGCTGATGCTGCTGATGGCGATGATGATGAAGATGATGATGCTGCTGCTGATGATGATGATGATGATGAAGATGATGATGCATATGATGATGATGATGATGATGATGATGATGATGATGATGATGATGATGATGATGATGATGATGATGATGATGATGATGATGATGATGATGATGATGATGATGATGATGATGATGATGATGCGGCGGAGGAGGAGCTGGTGGGCGATCAGGACAAACAAAACAGGCCTGTCGGATGTCTCTCAGAGTCTCTTTTGATTTCTTTCGAGAGCTGCTTGGAGTCCTCTTGGGGCGTCTTGGGGGTCTCTTGGCAGTCCCGGGGGCCTCTTGAGGCGTCTTGGGTGCCTCTGGGGGGCTCCTTGAATCTCTTCGGGGTCTCTTGGGAACCTCTTGGGGACATCTTGGGGGCATCGTGGGAGCCTCTTGGGTCCTCCTGGGCACCTCTTGGGGCCGTCTTGGGGCACCCTTGGGAGCCCCGGGTGCCATCTTTGAAGAGATTGATCAAAGAAGGCTGGCTCCTCGCTTAGCCCCCCCCTCATGATGCCAACCTGTTGCCAGCACTCTTAGTAAACTCAGTGATGCTGGGCTTTTCTCCGAGGCCTCTTAAGGCGTCTTGGGTGCCTCTGGGGGACCTCTGGGGGCATCTCGGAGATCTCTCGGGGGCCTCTTGGGTCATCTTGGGCGCCTCATAGGTGCCTCTTGGGGTCTCCGTGGCACCTCTTGGGGCACCCTGGGGAGCCTTCTGGGCCATCCTGAGGCCATCTTGGAGGATACCGATCAACGGAGGGGAGCTCTCCAAGTCTTGACGCTTCGCGCATCCTTGCCAGCCCATCCAAAACCGATGCCCAGGCGAGTTGAAGCGACCATGGACTCGTAGGAGCAACATGGGGGGCAGTCGTTATCGTCCGATGGAGAGGCAGCAGGCGGAGCAGGAGGAGGAGGAGGAGGAGGAAGAGGAGGAGGAGGAGGAGGATGGACGATGGACGATGGAGGAAGGGGAATGATGATGCATTTGCGGATGGGGAGGAGCAGGAGGAGAAGGAGGAGGAGGAGGGAGAGGTGGAGGAGGAGGAGGAGGAGGAGGAGGAGGAGGAGGAGGAGGAGGAGGAGGAGGAGGAGGAGGAGGAGGAAACGGGCGACCAGAAGAACGAGACGCCTCTTGAATGCCTCTCGGGGTCTCCTCGAATGTCGTTTGGAAGCTTTATGGAGGCTCATTGGGGCGTCTTGGAGGGGGGGCATCTTGGCGGGCCCAGGGCCGTCTTTGAGAGCTTCTTGGGTGCCTCGGGGATCCTCTTGAGGGCTCTTGGGGATCTCTTGGGGTCCTCTTGGAGGCCCCTTGGGCGCCTCTTGGGGCCCTCTTGGGCGCTCTTGGGAGCTCCAGGGGCGCTCTGGGAGCCATCTTGGAGGACATCGGTCAAACAAGAGGGGGGCTTCACGTATCCTTGCCCTTCTGGGGTGCCCCAAATTGCCTCTTTGGGCGATCTTGGAGCCGTATTGGGGCTCTCGTGGGCCCCTCTTGGATCCCTTTTGGGCCGTCTTGGCGCCATCTTGAGGCCTCGGATGACCATCGGAAGCGAAAAGGCCAGGACGCACAACACATTGACTTCTCTTAGATGTTGAAAGAATGTTGGCCGCTTCGGGGCCCCCTTGGGGATCCCTTTGGTCACTTGGCGCCGTCCTGGGGCGGTCTTTGGGCCTCTTGGAGCATCCTGTAAGCCATCTTGAGCGATCTTGCGCTATCTTGCGCCATGTTGGAGGCCATCTTGGGCTCTCTGAGGCGCTCTTGGGTCTGTGTTGGGCCATCTTGGGCGCTCCAGCACGTCGCGGAACCCCCCGTCCAGGTCCAGGGGAGGGTGTAAGGGGGATGGGTGAACCCCTCCCCGAAGGGGAAGAAGGGGGTCGGAAGAGGAGCCTCCCTAGACCATCTACGCCCTCAAGGGCTGGTGGGATTCGGACCCCCCCCATGAGGCCAACACGTGTCCAACACCGTGGTGGCACCGCAGATTTTGTCCTTCTCGCCGAGGTCATCTTGAGCGCTCCCACGGCCCGCGACGCCCCCCCTCAGGTCCAGGGGTAGGGGTAGGGGGAGGAACCCACCCGCCCGCAAGCCGTCTAGCTCACTCCCACCCGCCCTCCCAACACATAAGTATCACCCGAGCCTGAGCATGTTCAACGGTCGTCTTTGGATGGGCAGCTAGTGGGAACCAAAGCCGACCCCAGGTGCGCGACGCTTGAGCGAGGTGCGCCACGCGTGCCGGGGGCGCCATGCGCGCCAGGCAACTCTGGGGCCAGAGCGTGCCAGGCACGCCTGGTGCGCCAGATGCGCCACGTGCTCCGAGTGCGCCAGGTGTGCCGCACACTCCAGCCGCGCCAGGTGCGCCACGCTTGGGGCACGTGCGGAGTGTGTCAGGTGCGCCTGTGCACGTGGCAGCACACATTGGGAAACATGTCGGCCCCCGCCATCCTTGTCGAAAACCAATGCCCATCATTGTGCCTGGTGGGCCTGCGCACAGCAGGCCACGCGCCACCACCCCCACCGTCCCTGTCAACAACCACTTGGCAGTGATCGCGGGATGGCCGCGCATGATCCAGATTCAGCAGCGGGGTGCATGTTGTATGGTTTTTTGTCAGGGAAGGTCGCCCTGCGCACAGCAGGGAATATGCTGACACCCCGGCCGTCCCTGTCAAAAACAATACCAATTGCTCGCGGGCCTCACGAACCTCACTCAAGACTTTGCCCCAGAGTGTACTTTGCATTGTTTTTTTGACAGGGATGGTGGGGGGGGGCGCATCGGGTTGGCCGCGCATGCTCCAAATGTGGAGGCAGAGTGCGGTTTGTATTGTTTTTTGACAGGGATGGTGGGGGGCGGGCCCGCATGGAGTCGGCATGATTCCCGGTTGGCCGCCGGCCGGGTGGGGAGGGGGTGTATGTTCATAAGGAACAGTGATGGACCCTTCTCAGAAGGGGATGAAGGGAGGTTGGACAAAAAGACACCCTCTAAACCACTCGCGCCCCAAAGGGCTGGTGCGATCTTCTGGACGGCAACGATCTTTGGTCACATAATATATCAAGGTGCACATGACCGTGATCTTAACCCATGTCCTGGCTGAATCTTTGCTTTCTCAGGGCTTCCTGGTCTTCTTCTACTGCTCGACCCGCCTCTTTTCCGTTGCTGCTATTAGGGTGCTTTGCTGCGGTAATTTTGCTTTCCTCCAGGCGCAGTCCTTCGACGGCTTCCTGGCCTCGCAGGTGCTGATCCCGCAGATCCCCAGGCTGCTGGGCCCCGGCCTGAACAAGGCTGGCAAGTTCCCGACCCTGGTGCAACACACGGACGTCCTCGAGAACAAGGTCCAGGGCGGACGAAACGATACTCAGGGGCACCGTTAGGGGGGGAGGTTCAGGGGGGATTCATCGACCGCCAATCGCCTAGACATTGCCGAAAGGGGCCCGATAGGCCACCCCCCCAGGAACGTACAGTTTCGCTATCGGAGGCCCATCGACGATCTATTGGCGACGCATCGCCGATTCCAGCTCCATGTTTCCCCTCATGAGCTGGTCCCCCCTGTCGATGCCCTTCAATCGTGTGGGAACTGGGAAAGGGGGTACTACGACAGCTGCTGCGTCCTGGGCGTCGCAGTGTTTTCGCACCGGGCGGGTTCGTCCGGTCTCGGGCCCCAGGACTGTCACACGTCGATTCGGCTCAAGAGATGTTGCAGAACGATGCGGTCTCCCGCGAACGGGACGAGGGACTCGTGCCCCTCGCTCTGCAAGATGGCCCAGGCCTCGTGGCACGCAGCGCGACTGCGCTTGGTGGCCCCAGCGCTCTGGAGGCGGGGGGGGGAGGGGGAGGAGGAGGAGGAGGGGGAGGGGGAGGGGGAGGGGAGGAGGGGGAGGGGAGGGGGGGGGGGGAGGGAGGGAGGGAGGGAGGGAGGGAGGGAGGGGGGGAGGGCTCCTGCGCGCTGTCCTCCGCGCCGTGGCACATTGTCCGCCCCGAGGATCACAAGCGGAGAGTCTCTCTGGCCGCCCGCGGCCTCCGCGGGGCCCTCGCCGTGCCCCCCAGGGATATCGTCAAGAGGCGGCTCGGGCTGAGCGGCAGGGGCGGGCCTACAGTACGGTAGGTTCGCGTCGTGTCGACCGGCGGCGACCCCAACGCGGGCGTTCAAGGTTGAACGCCGCCGGCGACCCAGAATCGATCGATGTTGAACGATCGGACGTTGCGGCAGCGGCCGATCGTTCAAGGTTGAACGATCCCTGCGGTGTCAAAAACCAACGCTGGGGTCGGCACGACACGAACCTGCCGTAGGGGTCTTGAAGAAGGAACCCTTTTCGTTGGGGAGGGGCTCGGCGTTCCTTGATTGTTTTGCAGTTCGCCTTGGGTTTTCCCCAGGGTTTCCACGGGAACTCGAAGTTTATCTCATGGGAAAAAGGGGCCTCGTTCCTTATTTGGGGTTCCTTGGGCCAACGCCCCGACTGTAAGCGGTGTGTCTGGCGGTTTCGTGGGCCGCTTGCGTTTCGATCGCGTTCTGCGTGGCGGGCATAGTTCAGGAGGGGGAAAAACACACAGACACAATCCATCGTCGCCTCCCAGAAAGTATTGGGAAAATATGGGAAGTGGGGGGGGAAGACGAACACCCCCCAAATGTGGAAAAGTATGGGGAATCCTTTGATTTGTGTGTATTTGTTTGTGTGTCCCTGGGCCCCGTGAGCACTGAAGACAAAACGAGGGAACACGAGAACAAAGCGAAAACGAAACACACCGTTGAGGTTCAGCCCTGACGAGCAGCCGTCCCCGTGTTGAAAAAGAGATTCAGCGTGCGATGTCTGGCGTGCAGCCGGTTTCGACGCCGCCGCCCTGCGCTCTCCTCGATGCGTGTCCGCCATGCGGAGGTGCTGGGGAAACATTGTTTCAGTGGGGCGTGTCCCTCTACAGGAGGAGTATTGACACATAGTCAACAAATAGTATGGGACTTTTTTTTGTTAATGCTATTTTTGAGTTGTGCTGAATAGTTTTGGACTAACTTTCATTCTCTTACACAATCCGCCTGCAGGAGGACATGCACGACCCAGAAATAGTTGCACATGCCTGATTCGCTCCCCTCCCCTTCGGTACAATGCTGGGCTCAGGAGGGGTTCCGGTCTTCGAGCCGTTCCTTACGTCTAGGTTCAAGTCGGGCATGTCCATCTACGAGAGGGATATTCATAGTTAGAAATCAGTCTGGGGCCAATTTGTTGGTCATGGCTTGGGATTTTTTTTCGTTTTCCCTCCAGAGCCCGCCTGTAGGAGGACGTGCCCGACCTGAGTCTAGGTCGGGGGAGCTATTCGTTGCCAAGGCTCCTCGCGGCCAGGAGGGCATCTTCGTGCCAGAGTCAGATTTCCTTCTGGGGGCACACTGGCTGCATCCCCCTCCTGCCGTCCGCTCTGGCAGGTGACCGACATGAAGAGCCAGGTTAAGTTCCAGCTGAAGAAGGTGCTCTGCATGGGCGTGGCCATCGGCAACGTCAACATGACCCCGGAGGAGCTGAGGATGAACTCGCTGATGGCGATCAATTTCCTCGTGTCGCTGCTGAAGAAGAACTGGAACAACATCAAGCGCCTGCACATCAAGAGCACGATGGGGAAGCCATTCACCGTCTACGGCTGAGCGCGTCAATGGCAAGCCATTCACCGCCGAGCTTTCGGAATAAATGAACCTCCTCTTGAACCCCCAGATGTTCCCATATAACGCGGCAGTATTCTCTAGAGCCCAGTGAATCTCCGTCGAACCCTTCCCCCTCCTCCGTCCATTCCGTCCCTCCTCCGGAACTTCTGGCAGGTCCATGGAGGTCACTGGGAGGGAGGGAGGGAGGGAGGGAGGGAGGGAGGGAGGCTCCTTTGACCGTCAGGGAGACTTTGGATCAAACGCCCAGAAAGGAGACCCCCGCCGCTCTCCGAGGAAGGGGCCCTCCTCTTGCCTGGAGGTGGCCTTCTCCTGGAGGGTGCTTTCCCCCTCCCCGTCCTCCTTGCCTTAAGTCGGGCCTGTCCCTCTACAGGGGGGATTTTCAAAAATAGTCAAACAATAGTCAGGTTTTTTTTTTTTTTGTTACCTAACAGCTTTTGCTGATAGGTTTCTAGTAGGGTCAAAAGAGAGCATCTGGACTCCATTGGGGGGTCTGGGCGGGTGCCGGGGAGGAGAACCGGGAATCGTTTTTCGCCAACAGTCACACTTCGTGCTCTTCGACCTCCCAGAATTCCATTCCCGGGCCACATTCTGGAGAACCGGGAACAGAGCCGGGCTCGCTTTTCGCCAACAGTCACACACTTCGTGCTCTTCGACCTCCCAGAACTCCATTCCGGGGCCACATTCTGAATGCCCGGAGCCAACTGTAGGCCACTTCGTGCTTTTCGATTTCCCAGAACTCCACTCCTGGGCCACATTTTGGATGCCCGGAGCCAACTGTAGGCCACTTCGTGCTCTTCGACTTCCCAGAACTCCATTCCCGGGCCACATTTTGGATGCCCGGAGCCAACTGTAGGCCACTTCGTGTTCTTCAAGTTCCCAGAACTCCATTCCCGGGCCACATTTTGAATGCCCGGAGCCAACTGTAGGCGACTTCGTGTTCATGCGACTACGACTGCGAGAACAGCAGAATTCCACAACTGGATTTTCATTTGAATCTTAAGGGGAATGCTTTCAGATATGCTTCTACACATCGCTGTTAGTTTTTAATTTGTTGGGCATCTTTTTTTTTTTTTTTGGGGGGGGGGGGGGGTATTTTTCGTCCAAGTCCCCCTGTAGGGGGACAGGCCCGACCGACCTGATCCTTTGCCCTCCCCATCCTCCCTCTCTTCCATCTCTCCAGCTCCACGAGGACGGGCCACGCGACCAAACGATTGAGAAATGCCTGCGGGGGGGGGGGGGGGGGCGTCGCAGCGCCCTGGTTCGTCGTCGTCGTCGTCGCCGTCGAGGCCGACAGGCCGCGGCCAGCGAAACAGTCGATGTCATGCATATCTATGGTGATCGTCCCTGTCTGATTTTTCCCCAACCGTCTTGTGTTGCAGGGTCCTCGTTGTTTAGAGACAGTGCCCCGCGTCTCCTCTCTCCTCTCCTCTCCTCTCCTCTCCTCTCCTCTCCTCTCCTCTCCTCTCCTCTCATCTCCTGTCTTCTCCTCTCATCTCAACTCATCTCATCTCATCTCATCTCAAATCCTCCTCCTCCTCCTCCTCCTCCCCATTCTCTTCCCTCTTCCCTCTGCACGACCATGTCCGCACACCCCTCACAAGTTCTTTGGCCCGATAGGGAGCTCAACCGAACGCTGTGCCCACAACGTTGCATTTGGTTGGGACCTTCGCTAGGAACGTTTGTTCATCTTTGGGGCGCATGATGCAGAGCAGGAGCAGGATCCGGAGAAGCAGCATGCGAAGGGGGGTTCTCGAGGAAGAGGTTGCGACCAGCCTCGGGCTTTCGGGGTCAGGGGAGGCTTTCTCGGAAAGCTTGGGGGGCCAGAAGCCTTCCCAGCAGAGGAGGGGCGCGAGGTGCCGTCGCTTTGGATGCCCGCCAAGCTGCCTCGCGCGTTCCCGCACAGTTCGAAGAGCGAATCTCGCGCGCAGAGACGGTGTGCCCGAAATAGCATGTTTTGTCGGGGGCGTCGAACCAAGCGATGCGACGCCGAACGGTGTTCGTTTGTGCGCTCGGGCTCCCTGGTGAAATCCTGCACCCCCTTCGACGGCAACACGGGTTGAGCAACATCGAGTGGTTCCACCATGCGTCAGACGGCACCGTCTGCAGGCGTATCGAGTTCATATTCGCCGACGAAACTAAGCGATGCCGCCCTTCGTTTTTCCTATCTTGTATTCTTCTTATTATTGTTATTCGTAGCATTGTTACATGCTTATGTGTACACACTTTTCTTTCTCCCTCTCTATTGAGCCGTCTTTGGTGGGGGCGTCTTGGGTCGCGGAGGCCCTTGTGTGCGAGCTTGGGGCTTGGGACCGTCCTGGTCCGACCAAGGGCCCGCTTGGGGCTCTCTGTGTATATGGTTCCTGCCAGGAATCGGAAGAGATTGTGGTTAGCTGCAGTTTCTTGTGACTTGTTGATGTTATCTTCACGCAGCTATGCTGAGTTGTATTTCGTCGTAGCTCAATGCAGCTAATTCGCTGACTTGTAGTTGACTGTCTTATGAACGTGAGTGCTGGTTATATACCATTAGTTGGTGCTGGCTGTAGCTACTTGTGGCAACCATCGACAGGGTGTGATGGCATGCGAAGCCATAGCAGTACGCGGTAGTGAGTGGTCGTTGATCTTGCGAGTTGTCCCGGCATGTAGACGATCGTCGTTTTTTGGTGCGTAGTATGTTGATCTAACCGGTTCTTCGTTGCAACCTAATCTTCGTTATGCCTAATTTCATTTCGTCGTATACACTCGGTCACTGTATGCTGTGGCTTTCTAGCCAACCCATCAACGTTTTTGGGTTGTGGGGTAAAGGCTTCTTTGATGTCTCCTGGGATCTCTTGGGTCACCCTTCCAGTGGCCTTTCTGGTGGCACGGTTTGCACTTCGAGCGGGCCTTGAGCATCTTCAAGCGTTCTTGGGCATCCTTACCGTTCATCTTGGAGGGAGCATGATTGTTGATTTGGCTCCTCCAGTCTCGATTAGCCTTGGTCTCCACGATCGCATCCCTAGCTTGCTTATAGTTGGGCTTGTTCCCGCGTCGTCCTGCTTTCCAAGCTACATTCCGAGCCTCGGCCGTCAGCGTGTCACGCTCCGATGGGCTCAGCTCAACCCGGCCGAGATCCCCGATGGCCGTCTCTAGCTCGTCGACGTCCGCCGACCGCGCTTCCATGCCCCCCAGAGTCTCCGTCGCAAGAGTTGTCGCCGAGTAGGGCCTGGTGGTCAGACTCGTTTTCGTCATAGGCCTCCGCTGGGTGCGCCCCCATTCCGTCCTCGGTCTAGATCTCGTTCATCTTGACCTCGATGGGCTGTGTCGAGCTGTATCTGCATGGTTACCGTCACCCTGTCCCACATTTGCATTCGTTGTTGTACGAGCGGCGATTGCGTTGCAGCGATGCTGGTGGCGATGATGACGATGACGACGGCAAGGCAAATGACGGTGCCGATGCTGATCGCGCCGACGACGATGATGGTCTCCGCGCGTCGGTGATGAAGGTTTTGGAAGGATTGCGACATGCGCGCACGACCGACGCGCGCGAGTTGCCCGCATGGTATTGTTTGACAGGGATCCTGCCCCCTCCAGCACGCGCGCAATGGCGACCGAATGATTTCGATTATGCGCGCGCGGGAGGCCCGCTTGGTCGCATTTGAGGGAACTGCTGGAAACCGCTGGTTCCCCGAAGAACTCGCAAGAGCGTGCGCATGCTTGTTTCTTTGACAAATCATGCTGCGCAACCATATTACAATCTGTCTTCGGGGCCCATGATTTTGACATCCTTGTTGAACCCATGGTTTTTGATAGATTTCGGCGTGCGCGCGAGACGACGCGCGCGTGTACATTTCGTCCTGTTTTCCGAACGGGATTTGCGAACAGTTGTCCTCCTTTGATGCACGAGTGTTCGCGCTCAGTTTTTTTGCAGAGGAGATGCCGGCAATGGAGGGTCTGGGATGGTGTGATTTTGATTTAAGAACGAACGATTGGGCAGAACCATTTGTACATTGCGCGTCCCCACGGTTGGCAGTTATTCCCGGGAGAGGGGCGATCCGAATCTTTTCTCAGGGAAGTACAATGTACACTGTACGTGTGCATCGCAATGCAACGCACTGTAACGTAGCGCAAACCCGCGACGAGGCGGCGACGGGGCGGCGACGGCTGCAGCAGAGCCGCCAGAGCGGCAGGCAGGCCCGCGCGACGGGCGGCGACGAGGCGGCGACGGGGCTGCGACGGCGGCGGCGTAGCCGCCAGAGCGGCAGGCAGGCCCAGGGCTGTCGAGCAAGAGTGGGGACCCCAAGGGCAAGCATTGTCTGGGGACCACGTGTGCGTATCTTCGGTCCTATCTTGGAGGGGGCGAACGGAAGTCATGCTTTGGGTGGGAAGAATGTGGGGCCAGTCTGGAAGGACATGATCGTACTATGAGGGCGGGAGATGATTGGCGCTGGCTTCGGTTAGTGGCGAATGATGATCTCGTGTGGTTTCTGTCAACGGTTCCCCCAGCAGGCTGCGCTTCGCCTGTTTGAACCATCCTGGGTCTGCCTCACGTGACATCTTCAATCTCCCAAACTCGGGCGCATGATGGCCAGCGCGTTTTTAACCGCTCTGGGTTGCGTTCCGCACCCCCCGAATCCTGAGCGCACTTGTAATTTTGTTTCCAGCGTTCCATGATGACGCGCATGGCGTCAAAACGTGCTGCGCAGTTCTGAAACCGATGCAGCCTTTTCCGAAGGCCTGTCTGAATAATTCTGGGCATCTGGTCTCCACGGATGACTGTTTGAGCAGGGAGAGACGGAGATAGAGAGAGAGAGAGAGAGGGAGAAAGAGAGAGACAGAGAGAGAAGGAGCGTGGGACACAACAGGAATGAGAGAGATAGGCAGAGGCAGAGAGGGAGGCAGGGAACGCGAGTGAGAGATAGTCATCGAGAGGAATAGGAAGAGAGCGAGAGTGAGAGAGAGAGAGAGTTCTCTCTCCCTCTCTATACATATAGGTAGGCAGGGGGAGAGACAGAGAGAGAGAGAGAGAGATACAGAAAGAGAGAGAGGGAAACAGCGAAATGGGAGAGGGGGGGAAAAAGAGAGAGAGAGAGAGAGAGAGAGAGAAAAAGAAACGACGGACAGAGCGAGTGAACTACACATACACCTACGCACGTACATGTGTATGAGTATGTTTGTTCTGTGAAAAGAGAGAGATAGAGAGAGGAGTGCATAACTAGGCACATACATATACATACATATATGTATATCTACGCATGTATACATATACATGGAACTAGCAGTATAACGAACGGGAGAGATATAAAGAGAGAGAGAGAGAGAAAACAACACAGCGAGACAGAGAGCGAGAAAGAGAGAGAGAGAGAGCGATACACACACACATATATATATATATGTACATCTTTATGATACCGGAGAAAAGCCCAACTCATCATCGTTTCAGGGCTATTGGCCTATGGGGCTATAAGGCAATAGGGATAGAAGGCTACGGGGCTATAGCTATAGGGCTATTGGGCTACAGGGTTATGGGGCTGTAGGGCTATAGGGCTATAGGCCTATAGGCCTATAAGGCTATAAGGCTATAGGGCTATTAGGGCTATAGGGCTACAAAGCTATAGGGCTATAGGGCTATATAGAGCTAAGTACCGGGCGCCTGGGCACCCGGGCACCTGGGCACCCAGGCACCCGGGCACACGGGAACCCGGGCACCCGGGCACCCGGGCACCCGGGCACCCAGGCACAAGGGCACCCGGGCACCCGGGCACCCCCGGGCACCCGGGCACCCGGGCGTGCCGCGAAAATCGGCGACGAGCCTAACCTAACCATATGAATCTGCTCGGACCCCTACAGAGGCAAGCTCTGATTGGGGAATAGTATATCTTTAGATATATATAGAGGGAGAGAGAGAGAGAGAGAGAGAGAGAGGGAGAGAGAGAGAAAAAAGCAAAGATATAACAACAAGAAACAGAGAAACAACATACATAAGCACATATAGTGGCAGCCGTGGCTGGGCGACGACGCACTTGCCGCCAGCAGGACACTGCGAAGAACGTGGAGACCTTCCTCGCCGAGGGTTTCGTGTCCAAATCCGTGGCCCTGGTGGCTCGCTCTGCATTGGTGGTCACCGACGCCAGCGCTCACGACGAGCTGCAGAGCCTTTTCCCCCGAGGCGAGGCTGCCACCGTAACCTCAGCGCAGCCCCCCCGGGGACGAGACCGAAGACAAGGTGCTGCACGCTGTGCGCAAGGCAATTTAGCAGGCCCCGCGGAGGTCTGGCTTGGGACCTAACGGTTCCCGCTTCGAGCACTGGACGACCTTGCCGGGTGGCCGTTGCCTTCCTCCTCGGCGCCCTCCCCGGCGATTTCGCAGCGGCCGACATGGGGCATGGGGGCTTGGCTGGTGGCGCCGCGGACGAAGGGCGGGGAGCTCCGGCCGGTGGCGCGCGGGGGCGGCCTTCGCAGGTTGGCAGCGAAAGCAGCTTGCGAAGTCTCCGAGGAGGAGCTGAAGGACCCTTGCGGCCTCTATCAGTTTGCAGTTGGCACGAGGGCGGGCTGCGAGCGGGTCCACGAAAACGCCGCTGCCTTGGCCGAGGCATTAGAGGCGTTACCAATGGCTGATGTGCTGTCCTTCGACGCCGCCAACTCCTTCAACTCCTTGGTCCGGCAGACGGTGCTGGGCGCGGTGGGGCGCTCGGCGCCGAGCCTTTTCCCCGCCGCCAGCGACTGGCTGACGCGGCAGACAACGCGCGTCGTCTGGGGCGACCGCGGCCCAGACTGGCGTCGACCAGGGGTGTCCGCTCAGCCCTGCCTTCTTCGCCGTGGGCAACGCGGACGCACTGGCTCGCTCGCGCGGGCGTCTCCTGCAATTGAGCTTTGCCTCCCACCTGTTCTCTTACCTCGACGACGTGCTTGTGGTCGTGCCGACCGCGCCCGCCGTCTCTGGCCCGCGACGTCGCGCAGGAAGAAA